GCTCTGAGGGCTCCCTGGGGGCTGTTGCGTGTCCCCGCGGGGCTCTGAGGGCTCCCCGGGGGTGTCGCGTTCCCTCGTGGGGCTCCCTGGGGTTGTTTCGTGCCCCCATGGGGTTTCCCTCGGAGTGTGCTGTCCTCTCCTGGGGTCTCCCTCGGGGTGTTGCATGCTCTCGTGGGGCTGTGGGGTCTCCCCTGGGGTTGTTGTGTGCCCCCGTGGACTGCGGGGTCTCCCTGGGTTTGTCGTATCCCCTCACGGGGCTGTGGGGTCCCTTAGGGTGTTGTGTGCCCCTGACATGGGGGTAGGAGGTGGCCCTGTGCATGGCTGTGTGCTCCCCTCCGTGTTGGGCTCATTTCCCCCGGGTTCCTGCAACCCTCTCCACGTGGCTATGAAGCCCCTTGCCATGGGGCTCCACTGTGGGTCTAGGACTCCCTGTGCTGAGACCCCCTGTCTCTGCCAGCAGCGCGGCCCTGGTCGATGCTGACACTGTCCAAGCTGCAGCCGCGGCTCCGCTCCCTCCTGCCCAGCCTCGCCATGAGCACCACGGGCACCTTCGTCCTGCAGCAACCCCTCAACTACCGCAACGGCGCCCGCGTCCAGCCCCTCGATGGTGGGCCCAGCGAGGACGTCTATGAGCCGGCCACAGGTACCCCCTGCTTCAAGGGCCCGGGGTGCCCGTGTCCCCTTGGCGCTGTTGGGCACGCAGCTGTGTGCACAGGCATCCTGGCTCTCCTGGTGCTTACTCTGCAGCCTGTCAATGCCTTTGGGGCAGAAAGTGCTCGTAGTTCTTGGTCAAAGCAAAAGGGTGAGCCTGGCGAGGACACTGATTTAAATGGAACAGAACCAGCCTCACTGTGTCAGCACTTGACTTTTAAAAGCCGAGTTGAACGGCATTTTCTTTTTGTGTTGGAGCTGTCTGGGTTTTTGCAGGGTCAGTCTAGAGATTGCTTAACTCTACTGAGGGTTGTGTAACAGCGTCTTGAAAACGTGGCTGAAATACAATATACTCAAGGAAATTTGTGATACTAAGGTTAACAAGTGACTAGCACATTGCTGTGGAGCGCAGCAAATCTTTTAATTCAGACCAACTGGATGACAGTCTCTTCTAAAAAAAGCAAAACAAAAAGAAAACCCAAATAAATCGGGTTTCAATAGATCTTTTAAGGAATATTGAGAGCTATCTTTCTTTAGCCTGGTGTGATCACACTGAAATCTCCAGGTTGCAATGCAAGAATGAGTAAAGGTTGATGAACCTGTTTTGAGCTTTTCTGCTGAGACTTGCGTGTTTTTTTCCTGTTAAACGTGCTCAGGTCGAGTGATAAGCAAGCTTCTCTGCTCCGGGGAGAAGGAGGTCGACCTGGCTGTGCAGAGTGCAAAGGCGGCCTTTAAAGTCTGGAGCCAGCTGTCGGGCATGGAGCGGAGCAGGGTGCTGCTGGAGGCCGCCAGGATTATCCGGGTACGTTGCAGGAGCTCGGCCCCCACTTTGGAGAGAGCTGGTTTTGTCTCGGAGCTTTCCCGTGGATGGACGTGGCCGCCACGTGTCTGACGGCGGCTGTGCTGCCAGGAGAAACACAAGGGCTAAAAACCACCTTTGACCAGCACAGACACTAGGTTGTCATGGACAGGGCAGCCAGGCTTGTCCCACTCTTCAGACTTGGTTTAGCCTTTAGCTTCTCATCTTTGCTGCGTAAAGCCCTTACTGGGCTCTTTTTTCCCCCCTTATCTTTGTCTGAAGTCCTCTTTCTGAAACAGTACATACTTGAGTTTGAATACACAGCTCGTACTCCAGATCCAAGTTCACTTAATTCCGTTAGAAGAAATAAAACTGAGGCTGTCCAGCCAAGATCTCATGAGGGTGAAAATGCTCTTCGTGAGCCTGAAGATTAGGTCTCACTCTATGTGACTTCAGAGCCAAAAGTGCCCATCATGGTGTTAAACTTCCAGCTTCTCAGGCACTGTTATCATGTGAGCAGTGTTTTGTTTCAGCAGTGAAATCACAGGAATGTCATATTTTTGTTAGACACCAGGTAACACACACGAGGGAGAGTAGGCATAAGTCAGCTTTAGCACAAATTCCTTTGTGAGCTTGTGTGCTTTTGGACATCAGAGCGTCTTGTCCCATCAAGGCACTGACTTGTAAGAAAATGGATTTCCAGTGTGTGTACGTGGCAGAAAGAGGAAACATTTTTTCTCATAAAACTTCTTTATCTGCTGAACTTCCCAGCTATGTTGCTTTGTTCAGCGTTCATTCAGTTCTCCTAATTAATTTTTGTCTTGCTTTCTGCTGTTCCTTCCGGTTTAGTTCTGTGAACTCTACTCACTGTTTACCAGGCTGCTTCTCGATGCAGGTTTGCTTTATCTAAAAGAGATAAACGGGGATGTTAAGCAAGACTGGGCGCTGGTGAGGGACTGCAGCAGTTGTCTGTTTGACATTCCTCTGTGATCACCACTGGCAAATTGATAAATAGCAATTGGGAATGTTCCTTTTAGAGAGGACTGGATGATATTGATAGCAGCCCGGCCTTGGGACTTGCCTGCTTGGAAAGCAGCGCTCTCCCTGAGAAGTATTTCCCCTTGCTTTCCTGATATTTTGTCATATTACTGCCCTCACAGGAGCAGAGGGATGAAATTGCCACCTTGGAAACCATCAACAACGGGAAGTCCATCTTCGAAGCCAGAGTGGACATTGACATATCTTGGCAGTGCCTGGAGTACTACGCAGGACTGGCAGGGTCTCTAGCTGGTGAGAACTTTCTTGGAGTTTGGTCTGTAGCCTCTGCAATGCCACATGCCTCTCTTGGTAGCTTCCATGGTGCAAGAGGATCTTTGCTGTTGGTTTCTCTTAAGATAAACCTGTTTTTTTTTTCTTTTCTTTTTTTTTTTGAAAATCTCAGAAGGGTTTTCAGAGATCTCTGCCTAACACTTCTGCGTTTTTTGGGTTCTTGTGTGCCTTTAGTGAACTTGATGGGTTAAAAACCGTGTGTTCCAATTCTGGCGTGAGATCAGTCCCCTGAGGCTTTGGTAATACAAGAAGGGGCTTTGTTCTTCTCTGCTTTCTATGTGTTTTCTTCTTTGTAGGTGAACACATCCAGCTTCCTGGGGGATCCTTTGGATACACAAGGAGAGAGCCACTTGGTGTTTGTGTTGGGATTGGAGCCTGGAATTACCCTTTTCAGATTGCCTGCTGGAAATCTGCCCCAGCCTTGGCTTGTGGTAACAGAGACCTTCTCCCATGCAAAATTCTCCCTAAGGCCGAGCGATCCTGTGGGGCACAGCGGTGTGGGGAATAAAGCTGCAGTGTCTAGGAGTGCCCTGAGGATCTACTGAAGCCTTAGAGGACCCTTCGGGCTATTCCCCTTGCAGGAAGGGAAAGGAAATGGAAATGAGGGCACAGCAGGTGCTAATAGAACAGAGGAGGCATCAGCAAAACAGTTGGTTGCTTGGCTTTGTACCAGAGGAGGAAGGGTCTCTGGGGAAGTCTGCAAGGCAGGACCAAACACCCAGTATCTCCCAGCTCTTCCCAGCAGGAAGGTGCAGTCATCCCATTTCAGTGCTTGCAGAGTGTTCACTGGAAAGTCTCTGAGGGGTCCCTTGGGATTTGCAGTGACAAATTCATGGCTTTTCCCCTAAAGCAGTTTGGGTGTTTAACCCCACTTTGCCCCTCTCTGGGTTCCCCTAGGCAACGCTATGGTCTTCAAGCCCTCTCCCTTCACCCCCATTTCGGTAGTGAGGCTGGCAGAGATCTTCACGGAGGCTGGTGTGCCCAAAGGGCTCTTCAACGTGGTGCAGGGTGGAGCGGCCACCGGCCAGTTCCTCTGTCACCACCCAGATGTGGCCAAAATCTCTTTCACGGGCAGCGTGCCAACTGGCGTCAAGGTAAGGGCACCTTGTCTTGGGTGAGGGACTCAAGAAAATAGTGTCTGTGAGTTTGTCACCTACAATTTGTTCTTCAAGAAATTACGTGAATAGAGTCCCTTATTTTTTAAATATAAATCATGATTTGGTGGAGGGGAAATGTTGTTGCTTGAATGGACTTATGCTGAATATACAATTTCTTGCTATAACTCTTCTGATTATATTTGCCAAAATAAAAACTCTGAGACTGTCCCCAGTCTGGACTGATGAACAAGTCCAGAAACCCCAATTTGCCCTTTGTGCACACTACGGTTATTTCTATTTTTCCTGATAGTCCCTGGCATGTGAAAACTCTCATCTCGGGTGCCTCTTACCTCCCTCCAGTCTCCCCTTCTATCAATGGGTCACTTGTCCCTTCTGTCCTTGTTTCCATCAGATCATGGAGATGGCAGCCAAAGGGATCAAGCCAGTCACCCTGGAGCTGGGTGGCAAATCCCCCCTCATCATCTTCTCAGACAGTGTCCTGGAGAACGCGGTGAATGGAGCCCTGATGGCGAACTTCCTCACGCAGGGTGAGGTACGTCTGTCCTCACCATGGTGGGGCTGGTGTGGGGAAAAAAGAGCAGCAGAGCCGTCTTGTTGAGTTATATCCATCTTGGGCAGTGAGGGATGCCAGACGGGCTTTGTCTGTCCCAGTTTTGGTCTCTCCACGTGTGCTGCAGGTTTTGTGCAATTCTTCTGGCAAGCTGTCTTATGTAGGCCTGAGCACTGAGCAGTCAGCTCAAGTCATCTCCTGCTGATGACTTCCTACGTTTTTGCCGCTTGGTGGCATCAGTACCATCACGGTACTGCTGAGTACAGCCATGACTGAGCAGGATAATCTAATCTTCATTGCCCTCAGGGACAAGTTGTCTGTGTTAGCTGCTGTGGGGAGGTTTCTCTTGGCTTCTGTATAGCAGGAGCCTTGCAGAGAAGGACTGGGAGTTGCGTGTGTTATCCTGAGCAGCCTGTTCCTCATCTCAGGTGTGCTGTAACGGCACGCGGGTGTTCGTGCAGAGAGAGATACTGGATGCCTTCACAAAGGAGGTGGTGAAGCGCACGCAGAAAATCAAAGTTGGAGACCCGCTCCTGGAGGACACCCGGATGGGAGCCCTCATCAACCAGCCACATCTGGACCGTGTGCAGGGCTTCATCAAGCAGGCAAAGGAGCAGGTGAGAGTGTGACGCTGCCCTGTGACTGCCCAGGAGTATCTGGTTTTGAGTGTCACTTACAGACCAGCAGCTGCTGCCCCTGTCCCACACCTTCCCAACTAAAGCTTTTTTCTTGCCCTGAGGGAATTAGAAGGTATCTTGAGAGTCACTAGATTAAAGGTGACTCAGCACACCTCTTTGAATCAGAGTTGAAGGTGACATTGCATTTTGGATTGTGCTGTTGTGAAGCTGTGCAGGTGATGGGATAGCCAGTATTGCAGTGTATAAAATGGGTGAATCCACACAGTTTACCTGGTTGCTTCTATAAGCCATAGTGACATGTTACGTATTTCATTGTCATCTCAGCTTCCAGTTTTGTTGGTTGCAGAAGGAGCTTAGTAAGGATGAAAGGCATCTAAAGCAGCAGTACCCACCTACATTTGCAGGTTGCTGGGAACAATCTTGGTAATAACAAAAAGATTTATTCAGTTTTCATTTGTTTTTTTTTTCAAATTTTTATTGTAAAGAATGCCTTAAATGTCAGCACTAGCTGTATGACCACCCATTTTGGAAGATGGGCTGTAAAAGGAGAGGTGTGAGTAAAGCCAGGAGAGGGTAAACTAGGATTTGGGAACAAGAAAAGTGCTGCAGGGGGAGATGTGGGGAAGGTGAAGTGAAACCTGTCACCCGCAAAGCAGCGTATCTGATGGGAAGAGTGTTTCTTTCCAAGTGGAGTGCTAGGGACTGACTGACTTGCTAATGAAGGAGATCACACTAGGTGAAGATGTGGAAGTGATGCCAGCTGCGGATCTGCTTCCAGGTTTGGTTGCTTCCCTCCAACTTACATGGGCCCCTGTGAGACTCGTGCCCCAAACCAGCATTGTTTGGACCTTTAGAAAGGATTGCGAGTAAGAATCTAAACTTGGTCATCATCTCCAAAAGCCCTTGGCGGGTAGAGTTTGACTGTAGGCTCCTTATTTAACATTTAACTCCTCCGTTCCCCAGTTGGACGGGCTGGGCAATGAATCAGCTGTGTGGGGCCAGCTAGAGCTGCTGTAGCTGGCCCCACACATGATACTGCTGGCCTTGTGTGTCCACCTTCTGCCTGGCCCTTTTCCAGGGGGCAAAGGTGCTGTGTGGTGGTGACCTGTACGTGCCAGACGACCCGAAGCTGAAGAATGGCTACTACATGCGACCCTGTGTGCTAGGTATGGTCCTTCCTATTTATGGTGATGCATTCTTCTGTATGGGTGGATAGTGGCACCATGCTGCTGAGATCAATTCTGTACAGGAAAAAACTGTGTTTAGTGCAGCCTCTCTCTGTACCTGTCCATCTGGACTAGTATAAATGGAGTAGAAATGACTCAGGCATGTGGGAGACTGCACACAAGCAGGTCTCTGCTGTTGGAGGGTCTGATGGGACACGCAGCTAGTGCCTCTGCTACCTTGGAATTTGTCGTGAGATTTCTTTCTCTGCCAGCCAAGCCGGGGCAGAGGGTGCAGTGCCAAGTGCTTCTTAAAACATTGTGGGGGCTGCTGAATGCAGTGGACCAGCCAGCAGGTCTTCCTCCTCAAGCTTGTGCACTCTACTTCTAGGGAACTGCACGGATGACATGACGTGTGTGAAGGAAGAGATCTTTGGACCTGTCATGTCCATCCTGCCATTTGACACAGAGGAGGAAGTTGTGGAGAGAGCCAACAACACTAAATTTGGCCTGGCAGGTGGTGTCTTCACCAGGTACAGCGGGGGAGTGGGGCTGGTGTGGGAAGCAGCCTGGGGAGGGGAAGCACTGCAGCAGCTTGGTACACCTCTTGCAGTGCCTGACATGGGGGAAGGCTACTGAGAAGAAATACCTGAAAGGGACTTTATAAATACCTGCCCTTTCTTTGCAGCTTGTCCTGAAGGGTTAGGTGGGCCCTGCTGTCCTTCAGGCTCTTAACCAGTCCATGCTTGGCCTGCTGGCCACCTTCCTGCATCTCCAGGGGATGGGCTCCTGGAGTCTGCCACGCTTCTGGAATGCGCAGAGCGCTGTCTGCCATAGCCTACTGTGCTGGTGTCCTTGGTGTGCCCCTTGTATCTCAAATGGCATTTTGAGTGTCCCTGGGAGTGGGTGCCACATCCTTTGAGCAGGCAAAGAAAGAGTAGGGCAGGTGAGACTCCAAAAGGCACCTGCTGGTGACCGTGTTGGGGATCTTGTGGCCTTTCTCAAAGGGGGCTTGGGAGGAGAGGAGGGAAGGAGAGGCTCCAGCTGAACTGCCCTTTTCTGGCAGGGATATCCAGAAGGCTCACAGGGTAGTGGCTGCTCTCCAGGCTGGAATGTGCTTCATTAACAACTACAACATCAGCCCTGTGGAACTGCCTTTCGGAGGATACAAATCATCAGGTGAGCTGTGGCCCAGGGGATGTGAAACAGCTTGCCCTGTGCACTGGGGATGAGGATGTGCCTGTTCCTGTGATGGGAGGTGTGAGCGGGCTCTTAGGGCGCAGCAGAGCGTCCTGCTGTCCTCCAAAGAAATGAATGACATGCTGGGAGCTGATAAGGAAGCTGGAGTTCCAGCTAGAGCTCTGTATAAGAAAGCAGGTTGAGGAGCTTTCATGTACATGGCCTTGCTTGCATCTGAGCTCAACCAGTTCTTACTCTAGGGATGATCAGAAATGCCACTGTGGGGTGACATTCGTGGGCACTAGCCGCTGAGCACATGGCTCGTGTTCTCGCTGGTGTGGCCACGTGCTGGTCGCAGAGGGTACGAGTGGAGCCTGGCACTGCCTTGGTGCTGGGCTCTCATTTCTGTCTTGTCCTCGCAGGATTTGGTAGGGAGAATGGGCGGGCGGCCATCGAGTACTACTCGCAGCTGAAGACTGTCTGCGTGGAGATGGGTGATGTGGAGTCTGTGTTCTAGCGGCCCTGAGGCCGTTCAAGGCAGCCCTTGCCTGTCAGCTGGAGATGCGGATCATTTACACAGCAATAAAGAAATGCTCTAAAATTGTAAGTGCCTCAGGGGAAAGGAGTTGCAGGGTTGGAGCAGCTTTTTGCCACGCTGGTCCTGCAAGGGGGGATGTATGTGGGGGCTCAGTCTGTGGTTCTGCTCTGCCCTCTTTCTGGGTGGGAACCTAAATCTAGGCAGCAGTGATGAGGTCTCCTCAGTAGCACTTGCTGCTCCTGAATAACTATCATAGGCTTCTCAGGGGCAGACACAGAGCCCAAGCTGTCCCCTCGCTTTGTCCTGTGACCCCCACTGCATTATCCTCCACCCTTAGTCAACTTTGTTTTTGTCAACTTAACAGGTATCATCCTATCAATGCATATGTAAACTTTTGGACACTTCGATGTCCCATGGATGTAACACCTGTCTCTTTACTAATGAAAAATGTCCCAAGTGTGGGACTTTTTTTTTTTTTTTTTTTTTTCTTCTTAGCCCACAGTGATCAGATTTTTTTTTTTCCCCTTTTACCTGTGTCTTACCTCCAAGGTGTGACAGGATATTGTGGGGAAAACGACAGCTCTCTGGGACAGCTGTGGCCATACAGTCTGTCTCCCCACACATACTAAAAACAGCACAACAGGAGTGGTAGCAGGCTCTAACATAGGTGATAGATCATGCCTGTCTTAAGTAACAGCTATTTGACTCTCTAAAGGCCCTTTTGTTCTTTATAATCATGATTAAGCAACTTTACATGTTTATCAACTTTTTTAGCAATCAAATAAATGTTAATTTTGCTTGAAACATCTTGTTGCAGTACAATGTGAATCAAGGGACCTAGAAATCTATTCTGATAGAATCAGAGCCATTGCTGTATCGGGTAAGCAAATAGGTTGCAAGGACCAAAGTCCTGAAAACTCGAGGGAACAACTCTGGGTGACAGCTAGATTTCCGTGGACCTACAGAACAGTTGTTCTTGCTTTTCTGCAAGACGTCTCAAAGCCTTCTATAACTGAAGAAATGAAATCTAAATTCATTGTATTCCTTTTATTTAATGATCAGGAAAAAAAAAGATTATAAATGAAATGTTTGAAAAGAGACAAAAATCTCTTTACTCTCCTAGGCAGCTGTTGAGGTGCTCAGTTAGTGCTGGCAGATCCAGCCAAGGTGCAGTAAAGCTGAATGAATCCCTGTTCCCACCAGTCCAACGAGTGCAGCTGAACCGAAAGCCCCTCTCATTCTTTTTTTAGGATCTAGGAAGAAAAGACAAACATGTTTTATCAGTCCAGCAGCAGAAGGCAGCTCTGCTGCGCCGCGGCGGGGAGGCTGACACCCTTCCCAACGTACGCTGGACGTCGTACAAGTGTCTGGCTTTGGCTGACCTTGTCCTCACTTATAAGAAACAAAGGCCAGGAAACATCTGGGAATGGGAAACTTCAGAGTGCAGCGAGCTATGAAGTCAGGCACCACAACCCAGCTAGGTTTACTTCAAGGAGTATGAGAAGAAGGGAAATAGTTGAATTCTTCTGAGCCCTTTCCCTTTGGCAAGAGAATATATGTTCAGTAGTATGAAATGCCATCACTAAGAGATGAGCCCAGCCTGAAAATTAAAGAAGGGGCAAAAACTACATCTTAATCTTGGGGCACAACAAGCAGCTACCTGCTTTTGGCATGTAGCTGCCCTCAGGTTGTGCTGTTATTTATAGGATTCATGTGCTTTCTGTCAGCAGGACAAGAATAATGCAGAGTTGGCAGGCTGCAGACTTGCAGCATTTCCCCCACAGCCTCATTGGAAGCTTTATGCTTCTTCCTTGATAGGAGCAGGAGGACATGGGAGGTTCAGTTTCCAGGCACTTTGTGTGCTACGGGTTAAGGACTCACCTCCGGTGTAGTAGCCATAGGCATAGAGGATTCTCCCAAGGATCCAGGCAATGCCAAACCCTGTCGCAAGCCGCTAGATAAAAAGGAGAAAAATAAAAGGTTTCAGGGGTCTGCATTTTGCACCTGCTCAGCTATCTGGATAGCAGCCCTGCTTCAAGAGGACGCCACCAACTACAGCGTGGGTCCTTACCCAGCTACGACAACGAGTCAGGTCTGTGATGCCTGGATTTTGCAGGCAGCTGTTGCCTTGCACCACACTGCTGCAAGCAAGTTTTCCTGTTGCTGGTGTTAAGAGATCTGTCAATTTAGAGCTTGCTGCAACATGCC